TCGTCGTCGTCGTCGTCGCTGTCCTCATCCTTTGTCCTCAGAGTGAAAGGGGGGAGGTGGACGAGCGGGGAGGCAAGGGGAGAAGTGGAGCCGAGCGGAACGAGGCGAGGAGGAGTAGCGGAATAGACTGGGGAAGGGAAGGATGGAAATGAACGGGAAGGACTGGGAGGAGCGTGGAGGAGGGCGGCGAAATGGGAATGATTGGGGAGGAGTTGGAAGGAGCGGAAGGAAATGGAAAGGAACAAAAGTCAATGGGAAGAGGCGGATAGAAGTTGGGAGGGCGGGGAAGAATGGAGAGAAGCGGGGAGGTGCGGGGAAATGCGGGGAGGAGAGCGGAGGGGCGAAGAGGACTGGAATGTAATGGGGAGGGGCGGGAGGAATGCAGAGGTTGGCGGGGGCAACGTGTCGGGCTTCTCCTACCCATCGCACGTCTCTGTTTTTCTACGTTTCGCGTTTGTTTCGCAATGCTCTACTTTTCGTCCTTTTCGCACTTTTCGCACTTTTCACACATTTCGCACATTTCGAATTTTCGCGCTTGCCGCGCTTGCCGCGCTTTTCGCACTTTTCGCAATGTTCGCACTGTTCATGCTTTTCTACTTTTCGCACTTTTCGCACGTTTCTACTTTCCGCACGTTTCGAAATGTTCGCACATATCGCAATTTTCTATTGTTCTACTTTTCGCACTTTTCACGCTGTTCGCACTTTTCGCACTTTTCTACTTGACTGCTTGTCGCACTTTTCGCAAGTTTCTGCTTTTCGCATTTTTCGCGTCTTTCCCCGGTTGTTTGAGACGCTTAGATAACCGGCTTAGGTTCAAACCAACCCCCACCCCCAACGCCACTACCACCACAGCCTCAACACACCACTACCGCCTCCACCACAGCCACCACCACCACCACCGCCTCAACCCACCACCACCACCACTAGCAGCACCACACAACCACCACCACCACCATCACAGCCACCACCACCACCACAACCACCACCACAACTCACCATCACCACCAACACAACCACGAAAACCCACCACCACTACCACCTCAATCTACCACACCACCACCACCACCGCCACAACCATCACCACTACCAGCAGCACAACCCACCGCCATCACCACAAACCACCACACAACCACCACCACCACCGCCACCACCACCACCACCACAATAAACGACCGCAAACCACCGCCACCACCACCACCATCACAGACCATCACCACACCACCACAACCACCACCACCACAACTCACCATCACCACCACAACCACCACCACAAAAACCCACTACCACTTCCACCATCACCACAATTTACCACACCACCACCACCACCGCCACAACCACCACCACTACCAGCAGCACAACCCACCCACCACCACCACAAACCACCACACCACCACCACCACCGCCGCCACCACCACCACCAGCACCACCTCCACAAACCACCGCCACAACCACAACCACCACCACCACCACCACAAACCACCACCACACCACCACCACACCACCACCAAACCACCATCGCCACCGCCACCGCCGCCCGTCGCCGCAGGCGCCGGCGCCGGCCCAGAAATTGAAAACGTCGTCCCCGCCGCCGTCGCCAGCCGCCGCCGACGCAAGCGCAGCGCCGGCCCGAGGAGAGGGGGAGGAGGGGGGGGGGGCTTCAAACCCCCCCCCTCCCCTTCCGTAACGGGAGGGGGGGGGGTCGAACCCCCCCCCCCTCCATCCAGGTCCAGGAGAGGGTGGGGGGGAGGGGCGAAACCCCCCCCCTCCATCCGGGGGGGGGGGGGGGGGGGGGCGTCCGGTTCCAAACCCCCCCCCCTCCAAGCGACCACAGAACGCGCTCTTTCCAACCTCTAGGCCTCCGACACAGACTCCGGACCGCGAGGGCGCGGCTGCGGACCCGCTCGCCGCGCTCGCGGAGCCCCTCCTGCGCGGGGAGAGCTGTGAGCGCGCCCCACTGGAGGCCGCCACTCTCGGCGAGAGGTCCGGCGCTCGTCCCTCCGCCGGTGCCCGAGCAGGGAATGGGCGGAGGGGCACGCGGGAGCAGCACCACCACCACCGGGAGCAGGAGCCCAGCCGCGCCCTCCTTTGTGGCGTGGCACACCGCGACAACGGAAACCAGGATGGGCAAAGAACACAACGATGACAGCCACAACGGAGATATTTCAACCACGACGACGACAACGATCACAACGGCAACGACAAAAAACGACAACCTCGATAACAATGATGACAGCGACAACAGCAAGAACCACGATGACAACGATACCAGCGATGACAACGATGGGGGCCACAACGAAGACGACGATGTCAGCGGCAACGCCAACGAGCAGAACCATCGCGACGATCACAGCGACAACGACAGCAACGGTGAGAACGATAACAGCGACAAGCCGTGGGCCCCGTCGCTGCAGGTGCACCCGCTGGTCAACAGCGAAAAGCCCGGCACCGAAACCGGCGCACCTGGACCCGCAAAAAGGACGGCCGCGACGCCCCCTCGCGAACCGCAAACGGCCAATCGACGCGTCAGGGTAGGAGGAGGAGGAGGAGAAGGAGTAGAAGGAGAAGGAGGAGGAGGAGGAGGAGGAGGAGGAGGAGGGGGAGGAGGAGGGGGGGAGGAGGAGGAGGAGGAGGAGGAGGAGGACGCCTTCCCCCTCTCACTTGTGGTGGTGGCGGTGGTGGAGACCAAGCCCACCAGGGGCGGCAGTGGCCAGAGGGCACGCCCCTCGCGCTGTGGACACCGAGGGGCGCCGCGGTCCGTGCCCTCTGGCCACTGCCGCCCCTGGTGGGCTTGTTCTCCACCACCACCACCACAAGTAGGAGGGGGAGGGTCCTCCTCCTCCTCCTCCTCCTCCTCCTCCTCCTCCTCCTCTCCTCCACCTCCTTCCCCCTCCAACTCATGGTGGTCGTGGTTGAACACAGGCCCATCAGCCCCCCCCACCCCACACAAAGACGAAGCCAAGGCGCGGATAAGCTCGGGCGAGGAGGAATCGAGAATCTCTGAGACCCGGCGGCTCTGGAGGGTGTCTAAGGCGCCGAGGACGTTCCAGAGCGTTCCGGCACGCTGCGAAGGCGTTCTGCAACGCTCTGGAACGGATGTGTCCTCCTCCTAGCGTCGCCCGACTCGCCCCCACCTCCTGCCCCCAAGACCCGAGGTCACGACAAAATCATTCAAACTGCAACGTCGTCAAAAAAAAAGCCCAGAGCTCCAACGTGGCGAAGAACGGCAAACCACCGTGACAAAATACGGCCCGAGCCCTGGGCCCCGCCTTCCTGCAGCCTTGTCTGGGCTGGATCCGATCCGTGAGGGCCCTGGGGCCCAAGAAACCTGCCAGACCCGCCCGCCGTGACTGAAGGGGCCCAAGGACACACAGATAAATACACACAAATAACAGGATCCCCCATATTTTCCCATATTTTCTGGGTTTCTGTCTTCCCCCCACTTCCCATATTTTCCCATATTTTCTGGGGAGTCGGCGATTGATTGTGTCTGTGTGTTTCGTTCCCCTCCTGAGCGGCAGCCTGCGACGCCGGGACCTCCAGGGCACCCCCCCCCCGTGGGAGCCGCCCGAGGGCGGGCAGGCGTCCAGGAGGCGGGCGTCTCAGAGAGGGGGCGCTTCGCAGATCACTGCCCGAGGCACCTGCGAGGCCCCAGGGGGGGAGGGGGGAGAGGGGGGGGGGAGGGGGGGAGGAGGAGGAGGAGGAGGAGGAGGAGGAGGAGGAGGAGGAGGAGGAGGAGGAGAGGAGGAGGAGGAGAGGGATGGATGCAGAGGAGGAGAAGGAGAAGGAGAAGGAGGGAGGAGGAGGAGGAGAGGAGGAGGAGGCGGAGAGATGAGGGGAGAGGGCAAGTTATCGGTGCGCTCGCGTCAACATCTAACGTCCTACCCCTCCCTCCCATCCCTTACCATGGCGCTGATTTTCTCCATCCGCGGACGCGTGTCGTAGCGGACCTGTGGCTCCGCGCGCGCGTGCGTAGTGGGTGGTGGTGCGCGCGCGTGCGTGCGTGCGTGTGTGCGTGGTGTGTGGTGTGTGGGGTGGTGTGGTGTGGTGTGTGGTGCGTGCGTTGGTGTGGTGTGTGCTTGTGATGTGGTGTGACGCGGTGTAGCGTGGTGGTGGTGGGTGGGGTAGTGCGGTGGTGGTGGCGGTGCGCGGTAGTGGTGCGCGTGCGTGCGTGCGTGCGTTGGTGGGTGGAAGTGGCGGTGGGTGTGCGTGCGGCGGGGCGGGGCGTGGTGCGGCGCGGTGGTGGCGGGCGGATGGGCGCGCGAGAAAGAGGCCCGCGCTGGGGCGAGAACGCCATCCTGAACGACGGAGGCCAAACACCGATCCGAAAATGAGGCCCACGCTGCAGCGGGAGCACGATTCGGAACGATTCGGGAGCAGAAATGAGGCCGGCGCCTCAGCGAGAGCAGCATTTTGAAAAAAAAAAAAAAAAAAAAAAAAAAAAAAAAACACAGGCGAAAACCCAACTCCCGGAATCCTGTGCAAAAAAAGCAATACGCGGGGGGGGGGCGAATATTCCCAGGACGCCATCAGGGGAAGAGGGGAGTAGTATTCATATTGAGTAATTGTGGGGGGGAAGGGGAGGGGAGGGGTGCCAGGGAACGCATCGAACCGAGAAGAGCTGCCGTGACGTCTGCGGAGATGCCGCGGCCTCCGCCACGGCATCCGACCCCCCAGGCATCGCACTCCACTGCGCCGCCCCCGAGAGGGGCGGCTCTTGCATCGTCGCCGACCTCGTCGTTGAGCGCGTCGTCGTTGAGCGCGTCGTCGTCGTCGTCGGGCGCGTCCTCGGCGTCGTCGTCGTCACTGAGCGCGTCGTCGTCGTCGTCGTTGACTGCGTCGTGGCTGTCGTCGTCGTCGTCGGGGTCGTCGCCGTCCTCGCCGTCGTCGTAATCAGGGGGGGCCCGCGGAGCTCGGCAGGCCGACGCCAGTGGGCGGAGAGCGCAGCAGCGGCGCCGTCGCCGCCGCCGCCGTCGGGCGCCGCCGCCGGCGGGCCCCGCCGCCTCGGAGCCCGCGGAGGACTTGCGCCCGCTCTTGGAGGTGTTCGCTCGGCTCGCCTGGGCTATCTCCTGCGGGGGGGGCCCGCGCGCACCGCGCGCACCGCGGCGGCGGCGGCGCCGTCGGTGTCGTCGGCCGACGGCCGTCGTCGCTCGCTGCTCGTCTGTCGTCGGTCGGCGGTCGTCGTCGGTCGTCGTCGGTCGGCGGTCGTCCGTCAGCGGTCGTCGGTCAGCGGTCGTCGGTCGTCGGTCGACGATCGTCGCTCGTCGCTCGGCGGTCGTCGCTCGTCGCTCGGCGGTCGTCGCTCAGCGATCGTCGGTCGTCGGTCGTCGGTCGTCGGTCGCCGTCGCCGTCGCCGTCGCCGTCGCCATCATCGGCGTTGCGTCGCGTTCCCTCGAGCTCGGGCGGCAGAGGAGAGAGGGGGGACGGAGGGGGTGGGAGGCAGAATCTTCCCCGTCCACCCCTCCACGTCGAAGTCCTGCTCCAACGGTTCCTCGTGATCCATGCTACTGCTCTCCCCCCTCTGTCTTATCCTCCTCCTCCTCCTCTTCCTCCTCTTCCTCCTATACCTCCACCTCCTCCTCCTCCTCCTCCTGCTCCTGCTCCTCCTCCTCCTTCTCCGCCTACGTACTCCTCCTGCTGTTCCTTTTCTTCTCCCCCCCCCTCCCCCCACCCCTCCTCGTTCCCCTGCTCCCCCTCATCCCTACCTCCCTCCCTCCCTCCCTCCCTCCCTCCCTCCGAAGACCCCCGACGTCATGATTATTTCATGACGTCGACCCCCAAAGGTCTCGACCCATTCCCGGGGACGGGTTTACCATCCCCACTCGTGTTGTTTGACGGCCCCGAGGCCCAAGCAAAGCCTCAACAGGCCGAACACAGCAAAAAATCGCCAATCATGGATCGTTCCAAGACCCGAGGGGCCCTGTGTCCCTCCCTCCCGAGCGGTGGAATCGCCCGGGGGGGTCTCCGCCGCTCAGTTCCTGCACAAGTCGCCCGGGGTGGTCTCGCGCGGGAACAGCCCTCGCGAATCGCCCAGGGGGGTTTCACGGGGGCGAGGTAGCCGGGGGGGCGCCTCAGAGACAGTGCGCGGCGCGAAAGATTCACGCGAATCTTTCGCGGGACTCTCGCGAATATTTCGCGGGGGGCCAGGACTCTCGCGAATTTTTCGCGGGAGGCGCAACGGTCTGGACAGTCGCGCAGGGGGGGGCGAAGAAGAGAGGAGGGGAGGTCCGATGCCAAAGCCTCGAGGGCCACCTCCAGGGCCAAGCGAATGACGGACCATTCGAGCAAGGAGCGGCTAAGGATAGAGAAGGGGGCCGCGGGGAAGGAGGAGAGCCGGAGGGGAGCGCGAGTGGCGCACCGAGGAGCAGAAGCGGAGAGAAAGGGAGTTCTCCGGCTGATCACACCAATGAAAGGGCGAGGCTGATGACGAAAATAAGGCTCTGACTCTGCACACACAACCAAAACGGTCAAACATAGGCAAAACATTGTCCCCCGACTATTCCCCAAGCAGTGCTTGCACTAAAGGGGTCCTAGCGGAAATTGGAGGATTTGGCAGGCTGGCTTCCTGGGCTCCCGGGTTCCCAGTTCCGGGATCCCGGGTTCCCGGTTCCGGGTTTCGAACCGATTTCGGAGGGCGGCGAGGTTCCCGGGTTCCCGGGTTCCTGGTCGATCTTCTTATCGATCGGTCTCACCATCGATCTCATTACCGACTTCTCGATCGATCTCACACTCGATCTCACAATCAATCTCACTATCAATCTCACAAGCGATCTCACTAGAGATCGCATGAGCGATCTCGCGATCGATCTCACTATCGATCTCATTGAATCGATTTCACTCTCAGTCTCACGATCGACCTTACAATCGACCTCACTATCGATTCCACGATCGATAGCATCGTCGATCTCACGATCGATCTCAAGATCCACGAAATCAGCTTGCAAATCATCCACCGATCGGGGTTTTCGAGTATTCCTCCTGTACAGGGACAGACCCCACTGAATACTAGCAATATGTGCGTCCGAACCGAAAATATTGTAGAACCATCGTGTATCGGGAGCGGCCAAGAGGGGGGTGTCCCAGAGGGGGGGGTGCAAATCATGACCGGCGGCATGTGCGCGGCCCAGCGGGGGGGCCATTTACGTAATGAAGTAAGAAGGGGCGCCATGAAATCTGGGGAAATATCATGGCCCCCGCCATGATATCCACCCCCCCCTAGTCATCACCCCCCTCTTTTCCGCCCCCGAGTGTAGTAGATCGTTTCACGAGCGGCAAGGCGGGGAACGCTGGAGGCCCGGGTTTCGCACGGCGGCTCCATCTGGCTCTGCTGCTGCGCGCGCATCTGCGCCACGCTCCTGCGGCACGGGCGGGAGAGAAGGGAGGGGAGGGAGCCCCCTTCTTCCTCCCAAGCGTTCCCATCTCCTCCTCTTCTCTCCTGCTCCTCCTCGTCCGCCTTCTCCTCGTCGTCGTCGCCCTCCTCCTCCTTCTCAGCCTCCTCCTCCTCCTCCTCATCATCATCATCCCTCTCCTCCCTCAACTGTCCCGCCGCCGCATCAACTCCAATCCTCCTGCTCCTCCTCCTCCTCCTCCTCCTCCTCCTCCTCCTCCTCCTCCTCATTATCATCCTCCTCATCATCCTCATCCTCACCCTCATCCTCATCACCATATCATCATCAGCATCACCATCGTCATCAGCAGAATCCGTATCAACATAATCATCGTCACAATCAGCATCATCATCAGCATCATCATTACCATCATCATCATCACCATCACCAGCACCGTCAACGTCATCATCCACATTAGTACCACCATCACAATCACCATCATCATCGCCATCATGATCATGATCATCAGCAGCAGCAACAGCAGCATCATCGTCATCATCAGCATCGTCGTCAGCAGTATCATCATCACCACCATCATCATCAGCATCATCAGCATCGTCCACCATCGTCAGCATCATCATCGTCGTCGTCATCAGCAACATCAACACCATCATCATCGGCATCACCATACCTTATTATCATTCACGTCGTCATCATTATTAGCATCGACATCATCATCGTCATCATCGTCGTCGCAAGCGTCATCGTCATGGTGCTGATCATCAGCATCGTCAGCATCATAAGCATCATCAGCATTATCATAATCAGCATCATCATATCTACCACCATCTGCAGCAGCAGCAGCATCATTTCCATCTGCATCATCCTCATCATAATCATCATCATAAGCAACATCAACATCATGATTATCAGCATTACCGTCATCAGCATCACCACAGTCATCATCATCATCATCACCGCCACCATCATCATCATTAGCATGTCCCGTTCAGGACGAACACCTCCGTGGCGTCGGGCATCAGATCCGAGGACCCCCTGTGGCCTCAGGCCCTCGCGTCTGGCGCTGTCGGCAGCCGCCCCCCCCCGGCGACGGCGGAGCGGGTCGCCGTCGGGGAGGGGCGAGCGTGCGTGCCTGGCTGGCCGCCCTGAGCATCGACGGAAACGGCCCCCAACGACGACAGAACGGGACGCCGTCAACAGAGCAGCCAGCACAACCACATACTGCAGGTTCGTGCCGTGTCGACCCTGGCGTTGGTTCCTGACACCGCGCTGGATCGTTCAACCTTGAACGATCGGCCCTCTCCGCAACGTCCGATCGTTCAACATCGACCGATTCTGGGCCGCCGTCGGCGTTCAACGTTGAACGTCGGCGGCGGGGTCGCCGCCGGTCGACACGACGCGAACCTACCGTACACGTCCCCATCGGTCGGAAGCAGCAGGTAGAAGCATAAAGTAGGAGGGCGTGGGACGCAGAGTGGGGCCCCGCCCGCCCCCGAAAGAGGCAGGAAAAGGGATAACCACTCGATGAGTGAAGTAGGAAGACGCCCGAAATAGACTAGGATCTGGGAATCCAAAGTTACCCACTTTCAACGACCGATGGGCAGCCTTTCGGAGTTCTGATGGGATTTATTGACTCGGCGCCGAACACCCCATCTCACGCCTGGCCATTCGAAAGACGAAGCCAGGACGAGGACAACATCGGGTGAGGATACATCGAGTCGCTGATCTGGGCTCAACCTGAACGGTGTTTCTTGTGTTCTCGTTTTGTTTCCGTTCTCCCTCGTGTTGTCTTCGTTCCGCCTTTGCCGCAGAATGAGATCCAAACGAAAACGCTCCACGAAATCGCTGAAACACCGTTTAGGTCGAGCCCTGCCAGGAGATCGAAGCGGCCCTGGAGTATGTCTTGGGCGCCGCGGCCTTCTCGGAGCGTTCTGGAACGCTCTCAGCGTTCTGGAACGCTCTGGAACGTACCTGTCCTCGTCCTGGCACCGTCCGAAATCACCCCATGGGGGACCCCATCACCAGCGGCGGCTCCGAGGGCCCCGGCTTGCTCGCATCGATGCGGCGGCTGGTCTGCGGCCCCGGCGGGCAAGAACGCTGAGACCAGCGGCCCTGCCGCGGGGGCTGGAGTCTGCCGAACCCCTCGCGGCCACCGAATCCATGCAGGCCACACTGAAAAGGATGGTCATCAGCATCGACAACATCATCAGCAGCAGCACAATCATCCTAACCAGCATCAGTATCTCACCACCACCACCACAATCGTCATAATGACCATCACCACCACCACCACCATCATCAGCATCACTATCATCATCATCATCATCATCATCATCATCATCATCATCATCATCATCATCATCATCATCATCATCAGCATCAGCATCATCATCATCATCATCATCATCATCATCATCATCATCATCATAATCATCATCATCATCATCATCAGCATCATCATCATCATCATCATCAGCAGCAGCAGCATCAGCATCATTATCATCATCGTCGTTGTCGTCGTCATCAACATCATCAGCATCGTCATCATCAATCATCATGATCGTCATCACAAGCATCATCGTAGTCGCCATCATCAACGGAATCAGCATCATCATCATCATCATCAGCATCATCCTCATCGTCATCGTCATTATCATCGTCCTAACCATCAACAGGATCATCATCATCATCATCATCATCATCATCATCATCAGCATCATCATGATCATCATCATCATCATAATCATCATCATCATCCGAATCATCAGCATTGATATCATAATAGTGATCGAAATCGTGACCATCAACATCATCAGCATCATCATCCGCAGCATCATCATCATCATCATCACCAGTATCATCTGCATCAGCATCACCATCATCGTCATCCTCATCATCAGATTCCACCTCCTCCTCCTCCTGCACATCCTCCTCCTCCTCATCATTATCATGAGCAGCATCATCAGCATCAACATCATCATCATCATCAGCATCATCAGCATCATCATCGCCAATCTCATCATAAAAACAGAATCATCAGCATCAAGATCAACACCATCGTCACCGTCGTCGTCGTCATCATCATCGTCCGACTCCTCCTCCTGCTCATCCGCATCCTCCTCATCATCAGCACCAGCATCATCGTCATCAACATCATCACCAACATCCGCAGCATCATCATCATCATCCGCATCCTCCTCATCCTCAGCCTCATCAACATCGTTAACATCCTCATCATCATCCTCACCCTCATCACCATCGTCATCATCCTCAGAATCAGCAGCATGACCATCACCAGCACCATCGTCATCAGCATCATCCTCATCATCATCAGCAGCAGCATCATCATCATCATCCGAATCGTCATCGTCATCGACACGGCCATCGTCATCATCAGCATCATCATGATCATCAGCGTATCAGTCTTCGTCATAATCACCATTATCGTCGTCATCATCGGCGTCACCATCATCATCATCTGCAACATCAGCATCAGCATCATCAGCATCATCATCATTTGCAGCAGCATCATCATACATATCATCATCACCACCAGCAACATCATCATACTCAGTATCGGTATCAGTATCAGCATCATCATCAGTATCATCAGCATCATCATCCTCATCGTCATCGTCATCATCACCAGAATCATCATCATTACTATTATCATTATCATCGTCGTCATCATCATCAGCATCATCATCGGCATCGTCGTCGTCATCATGGAGAGGTTAGCAATATGTTTGCAGATCCGTCGGCTTCCCTTAAGGCTGTGATCTAGCCGCAGCGCTGACAACAGCCCTGCATCACCGAAAGCGTTCCCGCCACAGCGCATGCAATGTTCACAGGGCGACACACCCGCCGCGGCGCTGGCCGCACCCCTCGGGCCCTCACACCTCGGGAAAGCGAAAACTCTGACCCTCCCAAAACGTTGTCCGCCAGGGCCTACACCAACCCACCCCCCGGACAAACCAAAAAATCCTCCTCCTCCCGTCCTCCCCTCGACCTCGCAGCTCTCGACTTTCTGCATGGAATTCTTCTTTGAGTAGTTCGCCCTTTCGCTGACAAGGTCTCTCTCCCCACACCCCACCCTGCGGGTGGGCATAGGGAGCCAACGCAACAGGAGAGGGATGGGACGGAGGTGGAGGACGTCCAACATGGCGCGAGAGCGCCTAGCTTGACCAGGGTGAACAAAACTGCACTCAAACAACAGTTCGGAGCTCCACGCGGACCTCTGGGAATGGCGCTGAGATCCCCTCCCAGGCGCGCGGAGCGCGCGGGGGTGGCGCCAGAGGCGCCTCTGGGAGACCCCGCGCCGATCCGAGAAATCCGCAAGGCTGCTTATTCGATCGAGCACTCCTCTCGCCCCCCCTCTTCACTGGCCATCGCTCGGGGACGTCCATCCCCTGTGTTTCTTTCGGTTTCGTGCGCGGCTTTCTCGCCAAATGATCAAGGATGCTCCTCGATGGTCCTCGCCGAAGGAAAAATGCACACGTCCGTCGGGGAGACGTAAGACCCGGGTACGGGGGACTCGGAAATCCCCGACGAGGTCGCCAAAAAAATGACGAGGCCGAGCCTGCATTTTGACGAGGCCTCCCGCTGCAGACATCCCACGAAACTCCTCCTCGTCAAAATCCGAGTCGCGGTCGTCAAAAAACGATGGCGAACCCGAGTCCCGGCAAACCCGGGTCTTACGCTCCCCCGAGTCCGAGCGATGCCAAGTTCACCCTCGCCGGACCGCGGATCTGGCGCGTGGGCGCCAGATCCGCGTACGGCAGGTTCGTGTCGTGCCGACCCTGGCGTTGGTTCCTGACACCGCGCTGGATCGTTCAACCTTGAACGATCGGCCGTCTCCGCAACGTCCAATCGTTCAACATGCGTTCAACCTTGAACGCCCACGCTGGGGTCGCCGCGAGTCGACACGACGCAAACCTACCGTACAGGCGAAAGGAACCCCGGCGTCAATGCCGCCAGCCTCGGCGACGGAGCGCGCCGATGTCTGCGCGGAAGCGGGGCCCGTGGCGAATCCACGCGCCATGATGCATCCTTGCGCCCTCTCGCCTCCATCTTTCCCCTCCTCCTCCTCCTCCTCCTCCTCCTTTCCTCATCCCCCTCTTCCTCCTCCTCCTCCTCCTCCTTTCCTCCTCCTCC